CTTTTGCATAGTCAATAAAACACAAGTAAACATCTTTCTGGTATTCTTTGCCTTGAGCCAAGATCCATCTGACAGCAGCTATGATATCCCTTGTTCCACGTTCTCTTCTGAATCCAGCTTGCACCTCTGGAAGTTCTCTGTCAATATACTACTGCAACCATTTTTGAATTATCTTCAGTAAGATCTTACTTGCATGCCATATTAATGATGTTGTTGATAATTTCCACATTCTGTGGGATCACCTTTCCTTGGAATGGGTACAAATATGGATCTCGTCTAGACAGTTGGCCAGCTAGCTGTCTTCCAAATCTCTTGGCATAACCAAGTGAGTGCCTCCAGTGGGGCATCCGTTTGTTGAAATATCTCGATGGGTATTTTGTCAATTCCAGGAGCCTTGTTCTTCGCCAATTCCTTCACTGCATCTTCAACTTCCTCCTTTAATCAATACCATTGGTTCTAGATCATATGCTACCTCCTGAAATGGATGAAGATTAACCAGTTCTTTTTGGTACAGTGACTCTGTGTATTCTTTCCATTTTCTTTTGATATTTCCTGCATCATTCAATATTTTGCCTATAGAATTTTTCAACATTGCAACTCAAGGCTTAAATTTTTTCCTCAGTTCTTTCAGCTTGAGAAATGCCAAGCATGTTCTTCCCTTTTGGTTTTCTAACTCTAGCTCTTTGCACATTTCATTATAGTAATTGGCTTTGTCTTCTCAAGATGCTCTTTGAAATCTTCAGTGCAGCTCTTTTATCATTTCTTCCATTTGCTTTAGCTACTCTCTGCTCAAGGGTTAAGTTTCAGAGTCTCTTCTTTCATCCACTTCGGTCTTCTTTTCTTGTCTTTTTAGTGACCTCTTGCTTTCTTCATGGATGATGTTCTTGATGTCACCCCACAATTCTTCTGATTTTTGGTCTTTGGTGTTCAATGCATCAAATCTATTCTTTAGATGGTCTCTAAATTCAGGAGGAATATATTCAAGATCATATTTTGGCTCTTGTGGACTTGTTTTAATTGTCTTTAACTTCAAGTTGAACTTGCATATGAGCAGTTGATGGTCTCTTCCACAATTAGCTCCTGGCCTGATTTTGGCTGAAGATATTGAGCTTTTCCATCGCCTCTTGCCACAGATGTAGGCAGTCTGATTCCTGTGTGTTCCATATGGTGAAGTCCACGTGTAGAGCCACCGTTTGTGTTGTTGAAGAAAGGTATTTGCAATGAATGAGTTGTTGGTCTTGCAAAATTCTACCATGTGATTTCCAGCATTAATTCTGTCACCAAGGCCAAATTTTCCAACCACCAGTGATTCTTCTTTGTTTCCAACTTTTGCATTCTAGTCACCAGTGATAATTAACACATCTTGATTGCATGTTTGGTCAATTTCAGACTGCAGAAGTTGATAAAAATTTTCAATTTCCTCATCTTTTGCTTTGGTGGTTGGTGCATAAATTTGAATAATAGTAGTATTAACAGGTCTTCCTTGTAGGCATATGGATATTCTCCTATCACTGACAGCATTGTACTTCAGGACAGATCTTGAAATATCCTTTGTGATGATGAATGCCATGCCACTCCTCTTCAATTTGTCATTCCCGGCATAGTAGATCATATAGTTGTCTGATTCAAAATAGCCAAAACCAGTCCATTTCAGCTCACTAATGCCGAGGATGTCACTCTTTACGCATTCCATTTTATTTTTGACAACTTCCAGTTTTCCTAGAGTCATACTTCATACATTCCATGTTCCAATTATTAATGGATTCTTGCAGCTATTTCCCTCAATATGAGTGGTGCCACGTCAGCAAATGGAGGTCTCGAAAGCTTTACCTTATCCATATGAGTAAGGCTGCTTTTACTCTGATTATGAAGCTCTTTCCCAGTCCTATTTTGAGAGTCTTCTAACCTAAGTGACTCATCCTCCTCCTCTATTGGACAGTATTTCCGGACTATTCATAAAGTTGTGCAGTAATGTATCAGACAGTGTTTCTCTGCTATTCATAAGGTTTTCCCTGCCCAATTCTTTGAGAAGTGGATGGTCTCTTCCTTCTTCCTACTCTGTCTCAGTCTGCAAGCCCTGCTGATACTTGTGCACCATGTGTACCCCGCTGGGTTTGAAACACCGGTGGCACAGCCTTAAGACTCACAGCAACACATCACCACAGCAGGACAAACAGACAAGTTTGTCTCCCTTAGCTATGGGTAACTTCTCCAACCTCCCCTTACCCGGACCCCTGTGGCTCACTCCTCACTCTGTCCCAGTCCTCCTGGCCTTTTTCTGTCGTTTCTCCCACTTTCCTGCCTTGCTGTTTGTGGGGCATGGCCTGGGTTCCCTCCCCTCACCTGGATCCCTGCAAATGACTCCTTAGTCACTTAAGCAGTTGTATAAATGTGAATCAGCTTCCCATATCCAACCCCTAATGAGCCTCAGTTTTCTCACAAAAGGGATAAAAATACTATCAAGTTCTTAGGCTGGCTGGTAGTATGAAATTAGATGCCAAAAGCCAAACAAAAAATTTTAAAATCACTTGTACCTTTGGACAGTAGCAAAAGATCCACATGGGGGGAAGGAGGAGGACTAGGGCCAGAAAAACCTTTAATCATTCCTTTGGCTCAACGTCCAGAGCTTCTGCTGAGCCAGAGTGCAGTCATGTTAAGTAGGCGTTTCCAAAAATATAAAAGGCTCATAATGCATTATGTTCATAATTTAGATCCAGAATCCTATGTCTAAAAACTCTGGAAAAAAGTGTTTTCCATCACTCAATAGCAAAACATGACCTGAAACTGCAGAAGGCAATTTACAGTTGCCATTTTTCCTAGTTACCATGATAATTCATGTTTTGCTAAAGAATTATTGATGTGTTTGACTATGTGCCCTACACAACTCTGGAGATACTAGTAGTGTTATGTACTCTATATGCAGCGTGTTATCACTGTAAATCCTAACAACCTGAATTCTGAAACACAGATGGTCCTAAGAGTTTTGGATAAGAAGTTGTGCAAATACAGGAAATAAATGATAAAACAATCCTCTGCCCACCTACTCAAACATACCCAGACCATTGTGATCAGCTTAAATCTAAAAATATCTGCACAAGCTTGCAATTTTATATGAAAAACTAGCTTATGTAACATTACTATTACAATAAGTTCTAACACCTTTATGTATTTACATAATTGAAGGAAGACTAGCTTTGCAATTAACAAAAAGAACTAATATAGAGTGTATTTCCTGTACCAGGTACTTGGCATATTACGTCATTTAATTCTAATTAAAACTCTGTACAAGTACCTATTTGCAGGCTCATTCTATAGTCGAAGCCAGAGTGGCTTACAAGTTAAATAAGGGGTTCCACATAGTGATCTGTTGTCTAACCTATTCCACTCTAATAGTTGTGTGTCTATCCCAAGAATCTACATTTTATACATTTCATTTGTGATTTCCAGTTGTTTATTTCACAAACCAATAAAGTTATAAGTAAACTACAATAAAATCTTTGATGTGACATTAGGTTTCTAATGTTTGATTTGCCAAGTAAAGATTTCCTTTTTAAAACATCAAAGTGTAGTTAACCCCAAAACCAAACCCACTGCCATTGAATGATTTATGACCAACAGCTAGCAACTCCACGGGACAGAGTAGAATTGGCCCACTAACGTGTTCCAAGGCTGTAATCCTTTATATAAGCAGACTGTCATATCTTTCTCCCATGGAGCAGCAGGTAGGTTCAAACGACCAACCTTTCAGTTAGCAGTTGAGTGCTTAACTATTGTGCCATCTACAATAGCAAATATGTGTGCCAGGCACTGTTTAGATGTATCAACTTATCTAATTCTCACATCAGTCAGGTACTATTGTCATCCTCATTCTACAGATCAAGAAACTGAAGCACAGAGAAGTAACTTGCAAAGTCATGAAGAAACAGCAGAACTGAGCTCTAAAGCTACGCAATTCTAGTCACAGGTCCAGGCTCTTAACAACTACACTGTAGGAAGGCCATTATTACAATGTTTAAAAGATTCTAAATCTACATCCACTCATTTATCTAGTCATTTTTCTAAAAAACCAATGAAAAACTTTGCCTGGACAAGCACTGGATCAGCTCTTTGAATCTAATCACTTTCTGGTTACCAGTCTGAGCTCCTTGGCAAGCAGACACATGAAAAGACGGATAACTGTTTTGGAATATTGATGAAGCAACTGAACTATTATGCTACCTCGCTATCCAAAGGGCTAAGCTGTTCTGGAAACTGCAAACTGAAGCTAAAGAATAAACCACAGATTACTAGAGGTTAGCAAACATCAGGAAGAGAGAATCTTGCCTGAAAGCAGCATTTCAAAATCTTGTAAGATCCTGCATTGGGGCTGCAAGTCTTCTTAATCATGTGCCATGGGCACTAAGGGCAATGTTCAAATGATTTTTGGACACGTGCTTTGATTCCATGTATGTCTAAGTAGTTCAAGTAGTAATGAACTATTAATAAAAGCTGATCTCACTGAAAAAAAGTAAAACGCAAAGCAAAATGACTACCATTAAGGTTATCAGAAGGGATATGAGATGTTCAGAACACCTTGTCAAGAAAGTTTTTTGAAAAACAAAGGGCCATAATAAAAAAGTTAGATCATAACAAGAGTTGGTGAGGATATGGAGATATTGGAACCCTCATACTTTGCTGGTGAGAATATAAAGTGGTGCAGTAGTCACAATGGAAAGCGGTCTACCAGTTACTCAAAATGTTAAACACTTCCCACTAGACCCAGCACCTCCTCTCCTGGGTATACACCCAAGAGAGAACAAAATGTATGCAACATAAAAACTTGTACATGAATGTTAACAGCAGCACTATTCATAACAGCCCAAAGTAAAAACCACTCAAATGTCCATCAACTGATAAATGGATAAATAAAACAGAATCTTGCTTGAAAATAGAAGGGAATGAAGTATAGGTAGTTCCTGGGTTACAAATGAGATCCAATCCTAAGTGTGTATTTAAGTTGAATTTGTAGGTAAGTTGGAACAGGTGCATATGGTTCTCAATTTAGTGCAAGAAAGGAGCTTTGGTGGCACAATGGTTAAGGCATTCAGCTGCTAACCAAACAGGTCAGCGGCTTGAACCCACAATGTACTCCATGGGAAAAAGATGAGGCAGTCTGCTTCTGTAAAGATACACAGTCTTGGAAACTCTGTGGGGCACTTCTACTGTTCTACAGGGTCATATAAGTCAGAATCGACTTGGTGACAGTGGGTTTTGTTTTCAGATTTAGTGAAAGAAAGTGAGCCTTTGTAGTGCAGCAGTTAAAGCACTTGGCTGCTAACCAAAGGGTCAGGCAGAAAACCTACCAGCTGCTCTGTGGGAGAAAGATATGGCAATCTGTTTCCATAAAGATTCATAGCCTTAGAAACCCCATGGGGCAGTTCTACCTAAAGTCATAATGAGGTGGAATTGATTTAATTGCAGTGGGTTTGGTTTGTTTGGTTTAGTGCAAGAAAAGGCGCAAAGCCTTTCCAGTGATTTTAAAAGCTGCTCGTGCAGCAAGTGAAAGTGACTGTCATGAAGAATTTGTTGCAAGTAGGGGTTGGTTCAATCATGTCAAAGTGAGGGCCAATTTATATAATATTAAAAGGCAAGTATGAGTGTGGGCCCAGGGACAGCCTGTACTGGTACATGTCACAACATGGATGGACCTTGAAAACACTGTAAGTGAAAGAAATCACTCACAGAAAATTCCATTCACATGCAATATCCAGAATAGGCCAATACACAGATTCAAAGGAGATCAGTGGTTGCTTAGAGCTGGGAAGATGGAGGGGTCAAGGGTCACAATGAAAGAGTACTGTTCTAAAAGAATAATGAAAATGTTCTGAAATTGATTGTGGTGATGGCTACACAACTCTGAATATATGAAAAGCTGTTGAGTTGTACCCTTTAAATACAAAGAGTGTATGTGAATTATATCTCAATAAAGCTTAACAACAACAATAACACAGCACAAGTTTAAAGCCTATCAAAACTAACACCAAGAAGATCAGCAAGTCAAATAATGTAACTCAAGAGACAGCATGAACCCTTAGTTCTGACTTCAATTCAATGTGTTAGAATTATGAAGTCCAAGAACAGGCATCCTAGCTTAGTTATAGTGCTTGGCACATAGCGTACTTAAAACATCTGTTAAATGATTGGAGGGGAAAACAATACTACAACTAAGGAGCTATGCAACAATGGAAGACACTTTCATAAGAAAAGAAATTAGACTATGACCCAAATATGGGAACTCATGATCAGCCACAAGGCAAAAAAACCTTACCCTCTCCAAGATACATGGTAGATGATAGCTATGGAGGCATGCTACTTTCAGAAGGATAAATCCACTAATGATGGAAGAAAAACTTAAATCTCAAAGTAACCATAAGCCTGTCACTTCTGCTATGTCAAATTGAGGCCCTGTCTTTTGAATCAAGCAACCAGATGGCTGCCTTGGGCCCTATGTTTGGTGGTGGTAGGGATTTCAGAGAGCACTAACTTAACTCTCCTTTTCTGAAAACCATTAACTTCACTACCAACGTATTAGTCTCTAGTCACATTCTAAGGGGCCTATGAACAATACCAACACCGTGGCCTCCTTTCCAGTCAATTTATCTTGGGCTGACAGGTTGGGTTTTTCTTCTTATCCTTTACCCTTCTAGGTCTTCCGAAGAGATGATGAAATAAGAAGAAATCTAGAATGTACACTTCCAGTTTTGACATTTTGAAAATAAAATTTAACATTAAAGTATAGTTATAATACACTAGGGATGCAAACAGTTTTCATATATTTTTTTTTTAAAGATGAGATGAATCTGTCAACACTTCAAATCAAAACACAACTGGATACTTTGCTTCTTCTATGACTTCCAAGAGCTATTCAGTAGCTGGTGTCTTACAAGACTTCAGTCTAATTCTGGGCAAATAAATTAGTGATGGGAGGGAAAAAGTACCACTTCCCACACCAATGTCATTTTTTCTCTCTCTTTTTCGGTCTTCACCAACAAGGTCTGTCATTCATGAACACCACAGTGCTATTACTCCTCTGACGGTTCTAATATTCCTCTGACAGTTTCATTACCAGGGAGATGGAGGAAGTAACAAGAGGAATTACTTCTTTGGGCTTAAATTTGACAGATAAGCACAGACTATTGGGATGTAGAAGGAAAAGAAACATGTGAACAATCTGAATAGTCAAAGATAATGAATGTTGCCTACGAAAATAGATCCAGAAAGAGATGACCAGCTATGTAACTTAGAATGTTTGACATGGTAGGAAATGTTTATGAAGTATGAGAAGACAATACTAAACTTACACTCTAACTTACTGTGACCATTAAGTGAAACAGTCTATGTAAAATGCTTAACACAGAACCAGGAATACAATAAACACTGAATAAATGGTAGTTCTACTATGAAGAGTGTGTAACAGTGGGATAAACTATTTTACCCTGAACAAGCTAAACAATTATGTATGTCTAAATGGAGAGTGTATCCAAGATCATATACAGGGTTGGCAGACAATGGGCCTCTCAGGGTGCAGAAGAGTATGAAGGGATGGACACTGGGAGGAGGTAACTATGGGGAGGAAGTGGGAGGGGAGCTGCTGCATTGTAAATTTTGGTCAATGACATGAGACAAAGTATATGTGAACTGCTGTATGAAAAGTGAATTTACTCTGTAAATCTTCACCCAAATCCTAATAAAAAAAAAAAAAACTATTTTACCCTGGTAGTTACTAACACTTCCCATCGGTGGAAGCAAAAGCTACAATTCAGTAGCAGTAGGGAGTAGAGCTCTATAGGCAGAGTTAAATTCTCTCCACTGTAAGACTCTATTCTTCTATCCTCTACACCCAATTCTCAAACTCTAGAATTCTACTGTAACATAGCTTCATTTATATCACAAATCAATCACTATCTCAGAACCAAACCTGTTCATTCGTTTACAATAAGGACTTCTTGGTCCCGCAGAAGACAATCGATATCTTGGTCTCGCAGGAGAAGCTGAGCCACTGTAAAATATGTTGGGTTTTCTCTGATGACGAGGTTCTACAAAAATAATTAAATCCACATGACATACAAATATATATCAAGATATTTTATTCTTCACCTGAATACTTACAAAGGTGCCACCTTCCACAAAAATACTAGTAAATATCTACTATAGAATATTTCACTGTTCACATTTTAAATCTGCACAACTGCAGAGTTGCTGTTGAAAATATGTACAGCACAGATACTAACCAACCAAAACACACACTGGCCATAAAGAACCATTGTGCTAGTACTGGTGTGCAATAAGTGATTATCAGCCCTAAATGTAGTTGCTCCTAAGTACTGAGGTACAACGTTAACATAAATCCAAAGAGCGGTTCTATCTATACAAATGGACAAAACAGATTAAAATAGAAAGTTATGGAATTTAAAATAATTAATGGAAAACATTTAAAATTTCAAAATAGCCTAATTATTTACTTTGGTCAAGACTACCATTTAACTTTCTTTGAAAGAAATGATTTCTTGCAAATTTAGGATAGATTAAGAAAAGACAAGAAAAGACAATAGCCATGAGTATCCAGCAACACCCTAACATGAAAAATACAGAAAAAAATGAAAAGATTAGAGGAAGAACAGTGAAGATAAAGGTAATAAAATAATTATATCTCCCAGACAAAAACGCATACAGCACTTACTTTCCAACGGAGCCTGGTAGTAAACAGTAGCTTTTCTCTGCCTTAGATAGTATCGTTTCTGATTATCTTCTTCTCCATCATCTTCCTCTTCGTCATCTTCATCATCTTCACCATCATCTTCATCTTCACCATCATCTTCACCATCATCTTCATCTTCTTGGTCTTCTCCCTCTTCAGAAGATTCTACAATTAAGAAATACTTACTTCCAAAAGGATATTCACCAAAATGTTAACCATTTTTAACACAGAGAAGCTGGTTGGGGAAGAAGTCTGCCTTACTATCATAGAAAGAATCTATAACTCTTTGGCACTATTAAATGAAGATTTTAAAAAGTGAAATAAAAATTTTAGAATAAAAACAAGTGTGTAGGGGGAAATAATTACAGAAAGAAGATTAAAGGTTACTGCCAAGAATTACCAAACTGAGATTGCTCTTAATTTAATTAATATTGCTTATTAAGTTTCCAAGTTTATATAACATGTTATCTAATGTTGCCATCTCCTCACTTAGCTTTTGCCTTTTAAACTTAAATTTGACATTTCATCCTCTCTCTGGACATAACTGAGTTATATGCAGCATAACTCAAATAATCTACTTATGATAATAGTAAAATATCCTCACCAAACATCAGAAATGCATTTTAGAAAATTTGGTTTCATTCATGCAAAGTTCTTACAGTTCATGATAATAAGCCTTAAGTTGAAGAACAAAACTTAACTTTATTCACCTTCTGAGCAAAATAGGCATGGAGATATATGATGTGTTGTCTGTGTGTGTATTATACAAACCAACCAATTTTATTTACTTTAGAATTGTTGATTTTAGGTACTTGCCCAGACAAAACATAATATCCTTTTAAGTTCTTCTCTTTCTCCAACTTTTTTCTTTTTAGTTATGACCAATTCCTTCAGCTCTGACCAACTACCATAAAAATCACAGCTTCTGAATAAGACTATTTCCTATTAAATAAAAATTGATGACATTCAAACCCAGGAGATGGAACAGCAACAACAACAAAAAAACACTAACCTACACTGCCTTCTTGATTATCAGTTGTTTCTTCATCAGTTCTTTGGATACGTTTTTGTTTTCCTCTTGTGTACATGTTAAGATTCCCCTAAAAATGTTTAAATAAGAGCCATTAACACTTAGTACATTTGTTAAAAAATTCAGTAGGACCTGCCAATTTGCTTAAAATAAAAATATTTATAAATACAAACTACAACTCCAGTAGTAAAAGTTAATGATCAAATAAATGCTAAGCAAACATGTGACAAATTTAGCAAAAAAACGGATAGGTACTATAGAAAAACATCAAACTAGAGGTTAAGTCACCCCCCCAATGGAAGAATACATTTACTTCTTCAGCTTCATTAAACACTCCCAAGTCCGCAAGTTCTCTCATTCGCTGTCTGCGCATCTTCTTCATGTCATCCATTTTTTGAAGTACAGCTTCAGCAGTGCTTTAAAAAATTGATAAGAACATAAGCTAAAATGATAAGACTAGTAAATTTTAAAAATATTTTGTCCAATTTAATCTTTGCGTGCTGGGATTTTAAATACCTCCATAAGCAATGATTTACTTGTATATATATGTAAGTGTAGATATATATTAACATTTTTTCAAAAAAATTTAAACATACAGAATTATTACAAAGGACTCTATTTTTCATTCTTCTTTATATTTCACACAAACGGATGCATTAAATGTTCAGACTAATAGAAATTCATGATGCTTCTCCCCCCCAATTTTTTTTTGTCAAATAAATCATTTTGATCTAAGGAATTGTGACTTACTTGGTTATAAGTTTGTCAAACAAAACGGACTGGTTCACAGCACTGTATCGACTTCTAATCCTACAACTGCGGCGAACTTCAACATCACCGTTTTCTTTACATAAGCGCTCTGTAGTTTGAATGATGTTTCTAGTTCTCAATGACCGAGTAACTGGGATTACTTTATCTTCATAGATGTGTTCATAAAAATAAATGGAACGACTTGAAACAATAGTATTTACAATAATTCTGAAACAAACAGCTGAAAAGCCACTCATGTAACAAAATCATAGTACCTTAAACTTATCTTTCTCAACAACATTATAAAACAAAAATAAAATTACGGAACACACTTATCATATGATCCAGTCATTCAACTCTTAAACTAAAACCAAACCTACCGCCATCAAGTCAATTCTGACTCTCAGTGATGCTATGGGACAGAGTAGAACTGCCCACAGAGTTTCCAAAGCTGTAAATCTTTACAGAAGTATACTGCCTCACCTTTCTACTACAGAATGGCTGGTGGGTTTGAACCACCAACCTTCTGGTTAGCAGCAAAGTGCCCTAACCACTGTACCATCACAGCTTCTTTTCAACTTTCAAGAGAAAAGGAAATACATGTACTATAAAAACTCGTACACAAATGTTCAAAGCAGCTTTACTTCTAATAGCCAAAAACTGGAAATAACCCAATTGTCCATCAAAAGTTGAATGGATAAACAAACTGTCGTATATCCATATAATGGAACACTATTCAGAACAAAAAACAACAATAATTATGCTGAATGAAAGAAACCAGACCAAAAAAAGCATACTGTATATATAAAACATTTATATAAAACTCTAAAATATGAAAACTAATTTAAAACGACAGAAAGTAGATTGATGGTTACTCTGGAATCTTGGGGCTGGGAGTAGGGAGAAGAGGTAAATGGCAGAGATGACAAAGGGGCATGAAGAAACTTTTAGGGTCATGGGTTTTATTGTGGTGGCAGCTTCATGGGCATATCCTCACGACAAAACCTAACAGATTACATTCTTCAAATTTGCACAGCTTGTTATGTGTATCTCAAGAAACTTGTAAAAATATTAATTATGTCCCTGAAAAATGGGAAATGCCTTTAACATTCCTTACCTTCTTTGCACTCTCCTTTTTTTTTATCAGCCTGCTGTTTGGCCAACTGCCTACATGGAAAAAATACATGAAATAGGTCAAAATAATTGACATGGCCTTAAATTCTATATTCCATAGTGATATACACTAAGATTTAAACAACTGAAAAAATGGCTTGAGAACACGTTTATCAGTTGTGACTAAAGTCTAAGAACCTTGCTGTGAAATTCGAGGATACATGCATTAACTCTTAGCTACACAGAATCAATCAAATCAAAGAATCTTACTTGAAACAAGAAATGAAATGTCTACTTACTATAAATATAATTCAACTAAACACTGAACAAAAAGGCAATGTGTTTTACCCCATAGGTATATAGTGGTCTCTTACATTCAAGGAATTTATAAGTATAAATAGAACTAATGCCCCTTAGTGTCATGTTAATTGCCTTCAAAGAACATTTGCTGGCTATAATCTTTGTATAACATGTAATATTATCAATATTATCATCACAATCTTTATGACGTGTGGAAATGGTCCTATTTGTAAATCTGGTATCTTCCCTACAAACTGGCAGGCAGAATCCACTGAACTGGAAAGAACACTTTCCAAGGCTTTAAAAAAAAAAAAAAGGTATCCTCCCCTCATCTTTTTTCAAAAATCCACCAAGGAAACAAAACTGTACATCTCCTTAACTTATTTTTAGGAACTTAATTTTCTGTATCTGGATAGGCTGCATCTGTTAATCAACCTATATATTAAGCTATTTGCAAGTCAGCTGGTTTATACATGTGGAATTTCAAATATTACACTGTAAAAAGAAAAATCCAAACAGTGGATTTGTATATTCTCACAGCAATATAAATCATAATCCCTTATCTGTCTTGGAACACAGGAAGAACCAAAAACAAACAAAAAAAAGCCTTAGAGTGACTCACCTATAGGTCATAGTCTAGTTTGTTCAGAGGCTCACAGACTTTTCTTATAGAGGAACCCCTTCACACTATCTCAGTCTACACCTTTAATAAATGAGGCCTTATTAGGTCCTAGACACACAATATTTGAAAGCACTGTTTTTCTTTCTTTTTTTGCTAGGTGGGGAAAGAGGATGCTTTATCTTTACATAGGTTGATAAACTTTCTTCGAGGGCTAGGTAGTAAATATTTTAGCTTGTGAGTCACACAGCTACTCAACTCTGCCATTGTAGCATGAAAGCAGTCAGAAGCAAAATGAGTGGCCATGGCTGTGTTCCAATGTCTTTATTTACAAAAATAGACACAGCTAGAAGTTTGCCAGGCCTTGTGAATCTGATGAAAGATACAGATCTTTCATCCCCTAGAAAATTACATACACACAGAAGTTTAAACACTCCTTCCATGGCTTCATGCCCTTCCTGAAGACGATCTACAATCACAGGACCCTAGTTTAAGAACCCCAGGATCAAAGAAAGATAGATCCTGGCCTCAAGGCAGTTACTTTATGATTTGGTTTGGTTTGTGATTTGAGTGAAAGTTTACAGAGCAAGTTAGTTTTCCTTTCCATTCAACAGTTCATATACATTGTTACTTTATGTACTTTTTATTTTTTTTTAATAATTCTAACAATCAATGTTATCTAGATTTCTGAGCCCCAAATAGGTTAAAAACAGACAGAAAAAAAATCAGAAAGCAGGAAGTAAAGAGATTACCACAGCAAGGCAAAATGACAGCAATGAAAGGGCCAGCCAGATTAAGAATCAGGACAACTACACAAAGCAGAACTCAAAAACACTGCAGGCCATTTTACATAAGCCACGTACAAACAGAGCCTGATGCTCTCACTGTAAAGTAAAACAATCAACAGCATTTGTAATGATGATTTGAAAAAAGAGACACATTTTTTTGTTTAAGAAGATAGGAATTCTTCTCCATAGAAGACAAATGACCAATAAGCACATGAAAAGATGCTCAACATTATTAGCCATCAGGGAAATGCAAACCAAAGTCAAAACCACAATGAGCTATTTCATACACACTGTTGTTGTTGTTATGTGCCATCAAGTCGGACCCGACTCATAGCGACCCCTCCTTGGGTTTCCGAGGCAGTATCACTATGGAAGTAGATTGCCCCATCTTCCTTCTGAAGAGTGGTTGGTGGGTTTGAACCGCCAGCCTTCTGGTTAGCAGTCAAGTTGCTACCAGAGCTCCCTTCATACACACCAAGATGTCCTAAGTAAAAGGGACAATTTTGGACAAATAGTGGTGAGGATATGGAGAAACTGGAACTGTTATACTTGGTTGTGGGATTGTAAAATGGTGCAGCTGCTTTGGAAAACAGTCTGGCATTTCTTCAAAACAAACACAGAACTAGCGTTTGACTCAATAATTCCACTTCAAGGTATGTATATACCCAAGAGAAATGAAAGCAGGTCCACACAAAAACATGTCGACCAATGTTCACAGTAGGAGTATTCACAGTAGCCAGAAAGTGGAAACAACTCAAATGGCTATGAACTAACACATGGATAAATAAAATGTGGTATATTTATACAATAGAATATTATTTTGTAATAAAAAGGAATGAAATGAAATGCAGACAATCCTGGATTACTAATGAATTCTAGTCTGTCTTTAAGTTGAATTTGTACATAAGTTAGAATAGTTACGTACACTGTTTGTGTCTAACATCAACTAGTCCAATTGTTGTCTTAGCAAACAGCATATAGTGTACCTTTCTATGCATAAAAAACATTAAACACTTTCAGATACACCAAAACACCTTTAACATAATAATACAGTAATAATAGTAATAATGTTTGATGCACATTGCAAAGTAATACCCTTTTGTTATTATGAACCAACATATGTACCCAAATTTTTAATATAATAGGCTATCTAAGGGATTGGTTTGTAACTATAGGTTGTACATAAGTAAGATGTTCATAACCCAGGGACTGCCTGTACTGGTACATATTATAACTTGAAAACATTTATGCCAAGTGAAAGAAGGCAGACACAAAAGACGACACATTGTATGATCCCATTTATATGAGATACCGAGAACAGGCAAACTTATAGACATGGAAAGAAGACTAGTGGCTGCCAGGGCTGTGGGTAGAATGGAATGGGAACTGACTGCAAATAGGTGATGAAAAAGTTCTGTAATTAGTGGTGCTGGTTGCACAATATTATGAATATATTAAAACTACAGAATTGTATACTTCAAAACTGAATGCTGCAGTATGTGAATTATAACTCAGTAAAGCTATTATTAAAAAATAATGACTAAAGAAAACAGGAATTCAGTGTTTTATTCAATGTTTTAAGGAATCTAAGTTAAAAACCTAGTCATTCACCTTCAAATCTAGATGAAAAAGTACTTATTTTAATATACTCCCTTAATACTTTCCTAGCATAAAGCCCTGCACAATATTTTAGAAATCTGAAGAATATATAAATCCTTTCAGAGGTAAAAACTTTGAGGACTTCCAATATTAAATTCTTTGTGTAAGTATTTACAAATCAAAGTAGATATAAACCCATTTCTAAGTTTTAAACAATTAACACTATAGACTCACCATCAACAATAATAAAAAATATTAGCCAAATTTGAGACTGTGATGAAACAAAATAGCTATTTGCCATGTGGGTATGGAACTGGTTGCTAACAGCTTCTCTTTTAAGTTTGGCATGCCTATGTGGTATTGTATCACAATGACTCAATTTATCCACTACTTTTTATTATTCGAAGTGCTCCAAATCTTCATTTGAACAGCATGCCAGGACATCACATCACATGACCTTCTTTTGGCAGTGTATGCTCCATCCATGATTAAGTTAGGTTCTGTTCTTATCTCACAAACCTGACATAATGAAAGTAATAGTATCTGATGTCTATTCAACTGTAAGCACAAATGTAGGGCTTAAAATTTTATGACACTTCTCTATAAGGTGGTAAGTTAGATAATCCAAAATAAGTTTTTTTTCCTCTCAGATCATAAGACGTAATTTAAAAATTGTCATATAGAACTCATGGATCCCAGAAATAAACACAAAGACTTCAAGTTTCAGAAATACTGGGCTAGCTTATAAGCGATTTCATTGATTTCATAAAGCTGTACACTTCTCCCATATTTAAAAATCTCGGATATCGGGATATGTCTTACAATTGATGGCATGTCACAGTTTAACCATCAGTGTTTTTTCATGTTTAATATTTCAAATGCTGGTGTCTTAGAGCCTATAAAGAATGAATGAGATGCAAAATTTAAAAGCGTGATTAAATAACTGAAAAATAAATAAATAAATACAAATAAACGGAACAAAAAGCTCAGGCTTACCTTCACTTATCTGGAAAACATGCTATACAAAATAAGAATCAAAATTTTATCTAAGAGTAGGAGAGGTCTAAACTTCCACCTCATTACCAATAATCTCTTCAAAAAAGAATGATATAGTAACAAGTATTTCATCAAACAAATTTTCTCTGATTGAGGCTTTCACTTCTGTAAAGCCCTATCAAGGTGGAAAAAAAAGTGAAGATTTTGAGTTAATTAAATTTAACTTACATTTAAATCCTACTCTTAACCAAATGGATCTCAGTTCCATGAACTTAGCCAAATGACCTATTCCTTGTGTGTTAAAATGGGATTCATGGCACCTACCTCTGTTCTGAGAAAGCAAATTAAAATACTTATAAGGCATCTCAGAGACACACATTAAACTGGTTGAAAAAAATAATAATCACATTCTACCTTCTTTGTGAAGACTGCTTTGGGGCATACCAAGACAAAGAAGCTGATAAATAACTCAGAATTGATGAAAAATTTGATAGCAAGCAATCAGAAAAAGAATTACTGCAGGAACAAAGGCTTTGTACCACTCAAAGCAGAGCCACACACCACAAGCAAGTTACAGTCACATAACTGGATATTCAAGTACATAAGAGAACTGATCCTGTATCAACCAACCTTGTCACAAATACTGCCTCTGAATATAAAAATAAAAACAAATCAGACTGTGTACATACAAGTTTTAAATCTATAACCTTCACTTGTGGCAACTTCATTTCAAATAAATTGCATTTAAAACCCTTGGGATCTTGATAACTAGTCAAGAATATACCTTAAAAATTAAATGCAAATCCTCAGTTACTGCTTTAAAACTATTTTGATTTAGTAGTCAACCATCTTGTATTACCTTGTGAAATGCCTGCCATTAGCATGTTTCTCCATTATTTCCATATTCTTATCAAAACTAGAATCTGAAGAATTCTGTGTATTTTTTCTCAAAGATCTTAAAGCACGCGTCTGGTGGTAGGTTTCAACTTCCTTAACCGAAGATCCATCCTTTAAGAAAAATTGAGAAAGCCATCTAAGATTTTTTTTAGTCAAAACCCCCAAGTTAAATTCCTCTTAAAGTTTTCTCTAATTACAAGTTTGAAACAATTGCATTCTTAAGTGTCATTTTGCACCTGCTTGCCAAAAATTATACAATAATTATCTAGAATAAGTAGTCATTTTATTGTAAACAAATCTGGCAATGTCTTTGTCAAACAGCTATTTCATCATAGTTTCTCGGGTGGAGGCTTTTCACACCCTTTCTGTGAGACCCCGACAACGATGGGAAAAACGTGAAGGTTTTGAGCTATCAAGCTTAGATTTAAATCCTACTCTTAACCAAATGAACCTCAGTTCCTGTGTGTTAAAATGGGATTCATGGCACCTACCTCTTTGTTTCCACACTAGTAGTCTAGAAAGTGAAGTTTTCCATCACTGTCAAAAAGTTATAGTAGTTCTTAACAATAAGTACTCATTTATTTTAAGATTTCAGAAATCAGAAATACCTAAAAAAGACAACATGTAACATTGTCTGCCACTCAGCCACTGGCAGGAACCTGAAGTTCACTGGGCTGACAAGATTATAATTTTGGTCTGAATGACAAAAAGGAGTTCTTACCAACTATGTGTTTCACCCAGTTTTACTCAGATAAGGCAACTGAATTCAAAGACTCTTTAAGTGTATTACTCTGGTATAAAAACCATAGAGGTCCATATAATGCTACCTAAGCCAATCCTATCATGCTACAGAAAAGCATACAAAGTATGCCCTTCTGCAATGTATTTTTGATATAATACCCCATACCAATAATTTCTCAAAAGCCTTGCTCAACAGAGACTAAACACACACACACACACACACACACACACACGATAAACCGGAGACTGAATTAACCGGTTGCCATTAAGTTGATTTCAGCTCACAGTGACCCCACGTACATCAGAGTAGAATTATAGGGTTTTTCAATGGCGAGGCCAGAGGTGCCTCTCAGTGGACTCAAACTCCCAACCTTTCCCTAGCAGCTGAGCATGTTAACCGTTGGCACCACCCAGGGACTTCAGAGGCAAAGTTAGTGGGCAGCCTTAAGAGCTACAGAGCTTCTGTCACGAAGTATTCAAAAAGTTCTTAAGACCCTCTCTGAAATCATATATAGGGTATTTCTACATCAGGAGAGAAGTCAAAAGTCTATGGAAACTGGTAGTTTTAGAAAAGCAGTAGTGTTTCAGAGAATACAAAACATCACCTCTCCTGTTCCCTTTTTAGTCTGGCCGTACTTTGTTACCTAATTTCACTTTATCAGGTGCCAGCAACCAGGAGGTAGAAAGAAATGTTTAGTTCCCATCCTGCCACCTCCGTGACTTGGGGCATACTACTTGATGGGTTCACAAGTAAAATAAGAGTAGAATGAGGTGCTTCATAAAATATTAAGTAATGTATATGATTCATCATCATCTTTGACTGAAAATACATACATACAGCTTAAATAGTAGTATAACGTAAGACTAAGGTAATAATCTATTTCCAGATTTTCAACCTCTTTAAGTACATTTTCTTACAACTGATCTGCCTGACAAGGTGCCGTCCTGAACATAGGCATCCTCTCATTTACCTTTCTCCCATTTTACAACAGGAAGTCCCATCTCATACGCATTCTGAAGCTACTGTGGACTGCCTCAAGGCACAGAAATATAAATAAAGCCAAACAAACAAAACCATACATGTAAGTATTAAGAAACTGAATAACTAACTGAGCACGGTAACAAATCTTTTCCCTGGTTAGGTGATACTCAATTATTTGCCTTCAACAAAATTGAAAGGAGGGCAAATCAAGTTAAGAGCATTGAAAATAATTTTTGCCCACAGTGCTCTGTGAAGAAGCTAGAAAAGCTGAGTGGCCCTCCTAAACAAAACTCCTTTCATTCCATCCACTTCTTGATGTGAAAATGTTTCTCAGTGCCTGTATTTATATAAAATGAAAGCCCAAACTAGCAGAACTGATGCCAAACACTGGTTTTAAGTAATTTAAGCAGTAAGTATGATTTGTCCAGACACACACACTAACTGGGTGAGTGGACGATACAACCATATTGGGGTTGTGATCATGGATGCTGTTATTCTGACTCATGGTGACCCTACAGGTCAGAGTAAAACTGCCCCCACAGGATGCCTCAGCTGTAATCTTTAGGGAAAAATATCATCTTTTCTTCCGGAGCACCTGGGGGAGTTCACACTGCCTACCTTTTGGTTAGCAGCCAACTGTTTAACTATTGCACCACCGGGGCTCCTCTCAACTACATTAGATCTTAATAAAATCATACATTTAATTTAATAATTTTCATAAATATATGTATTCTTGTTTTTCTTGATTAATAATTTTAACTCAATCCAGAAGAATTTATGTCTTGGACCTTTTAGGTCACAGAAAAAAGTAAAAAATCACTTTCAAGCGTAAAACTTCCTGTGGGTTAGGTGATTTAGAAATACAAATTGAGAGAGGGGGGAAAAAAGAATCAATATAAAACATCTGACTGGGGAAAGAGCTTACTTTTAAAGGCCCATGATAGATATCAAATAACTGTAACTTTTAGATTCCAGTGGATACAAATAAACATCCAATGTAACAGTTTTATTCTTTTTAATGTCAACATTAAAGGATGCCAGAAATTATTCTTTGTAACTATTTAAACAAAGTGGGTGGATGAGGGGGAAACCTTAGATGGCAACTTAAAGATACACAAAGGAATACAGAGTTAAAAACCATTTTAGAAGTATGTGAGGAAAAATGTTTTGGGGTCACACTGTAAGGACCTTCCCAACACCAAGATTTTACTGATCTGATGGAAAATACAAGATAATATATACTTTGTTGAAGGTAACTACCAAGCTAAGCCTAAACTGGAAGCTCCAGTGTCGTAGTGCCTAAGGCATTTGACTGCTAACCCAGAATGCTGGCGGTTCAAATCACCAGCCACTCCTTGGAAGGAAAGCTGGGAAACCCAAGAAGCGGTTGCTATGATTAAGCTCTGACTCCATGGCAGTGAGTTTGGTTTTTGTTTTGGAAACCTAAGGCTGCCAATTTATTCATTTGAAATCTCTACTAGAATCTATGCTGTTTTACATATGGCATAAAAGGCTAAACTTTGTTTTTCAACAATATTCCTTACTAAAAAAACAAAAACAAAAAGCCTTGCCCCTACCCATCTTGTTTCCCTCAATTACTTTAATTAATTCATTGGTACCAAAAAAGCGGGGGGAGGGGGGGGAGATGCTAACTGCGAAAAAACGTGTAAGACTGAACTAGTGGTGAAGAGAAACTCTGAAAAACAGGAGGCAGCAAGAAAGGTTCCTCGGCAGTGAGGAGAACAACCCCCCCCCCCAGACAGGGAGTAATGTACTGGGGAATGTGGAACTATCAGTAACTCTTACAAAGAACAAAGGAAAAATAAAATACACACCCACTGGAACTGGAAAAACGAAGGCACGAAGATGTCACCCCTCCAGATAAACACCGTTAACCGCTGGTGCCATTCTTTGCCTCCGCAAACACATTTACATGATTTTTAGAAGTATTACCTATGCTTTGTAACCCCTTCCTGGTAATACAAACGTTTTTCTGTCACGAAATACTATGCTAAAAATATTTTAAATGAATGACTAGTGCTCCAGTCATTGACCAGATGCTGTCAAGTCAATTCCATGCAGAACCGTGCTCCGTTGGGAAGCAGACCACCAGGTCTTTTTTAAGGTGCTCTGGGTAGATCCGACCCTCTACCCTCTAGGTTAGTAACTGAGTGCACGAACTATTTGCAACACTCAGAGCCTTCTTTCCAACCATTATATGACTATAGCTTATTTCATAAATGGCTTATTGTTTTAGAGTTAGGCATTTCTGATGCTATAAATATATCTATATGAATTTTCCAGTGTATACGTGATTCCTAGGGATAAGGAGCACAGATCAACGCTGTATTTTAGTATAGCTAATCAAACTAATTCCCAAGAGATAAGTTTAATGTCGTCTTTTAAAAGTAATTAACACTGAATGATGTTGTTGTTGTTGTTGTTATGTGCTGTCAAGTTAGCCCTGACTCATAGCGAATGATAGGGAAGGGGATTTTCCTTTTCCTTTTTTTTAAAAAATTTATAACATGTATTCTAGAGGAAAGTTTCCTAAGACATAAACAACAGAAAATGTACTTACCCTGAAAACTAAACTTAGAGATGTAGTGTCACCATTCAATTTTTGGCTGAAATCTACTTAAATGTTCACAGCACTGATAGTTCTTTAACAATTCAATTTTAAAAGAGGAAAAGAAATATACATACTTTTGTTAAATTTTAAGTCAGTGCTATGACACTGAAGAATCAGGAAGTTAGTATAGTGAGCAGGCAAAAGCAGATTTAGAACCAAGAACTCAAATTTAATAATTTCTCACAAAGTAGACAATACAAATATTTTAATATATTATTTTTCACAAAAAGACCAAGGTTAGTAGAGCTGTTAAATTCAATAAATAAGGTTTAAATGTGATTTTTAAAATCACAGTTGTAATAAAACCCAAATTCCAAATCACAGCGACCCTACAGGACAGAGCAGAACTGCCCCCCCCCGGCCTTTCCAAGGCTTTCCAGAAGCAGATCATTACGGAAGTAGACTATCACATCGTCCCCCTGCACAGCAGCTGGTGGGCTCAAACCACCAACCTTTTAGTTGGCAGCTGACCGCTTAACAACTGCGCCACAGGGGCTTCTTAAAGTTGTAACAACAACTGTACAATGCACCCATCCAGACTCAGGCACTTCCACAGTCTGAATAGCATGCACAGTGGTATAAGTTACATCAGTATAGTTGTGATAGCCCTCCTTAGTCTTTTAAACATGAGTAGTTAGTTCCTCGCCATCAACCTATTCCACAAGCTCAAGCTCCAGCAGTTTACAAGGTGTGCAACAACAAATGCAACCATTGCCGTGGAGTCGGACCTGACCCACAGCGACCCCTCCTTGGGTT